AGATGGCGAAGACGTTGCGCTCGGCCGGGGAGCCGGGAGGGGGGCCGAGCACGGTGGCGGCGAGCGCGGCGCCCGCGCGGCTGAACGAGTCCTCGAGCGCGATCCAGTTCTTGGTGGCGCCGCGCGCCGGGTGCAGCTCGTAGGTGCGGCGCAGGGAGGAGCCGGGCCCCAGCGGGCACTCGGCGCCGCTCGCCGCCGTCGCCACCACGTTCTTGAACTTGCCGTTGGAGAACATGCACACGTCCACGTGCTGCACCACGAACACCTGGCACACACACACAGCCCCCAGCATCCTATTCAATATGCAGATGGACAATGAATTTAAGAAGAAAAATTGTTCGTCTAAGTTCAATGAATTATAATTTTTTATATTGACAGTACAGAGCTCTGTAATATCTGTTGAGTCTATCCGGATTCTTTGGCTTGCTAATTTCTTTCTGAGATCAAATAATTTGACGCCTGCTAATATAAGACTTCTGATTTCTTTTTCTCCTGTTTACACTGAGTGCAGCAGTGACGGAGGTGTGAGAATAGCACTAGCATAAATATGAATACGATCCAAGAGCAAATATTTGAACGTTTGGCAAGAAATTGAAACAGTTTCTACCTAATTTTTAGGATTGCTTTCAATTAGCAATTATATTGTTGTTTTCTCGTTTTGAACTTCATAATTTCCCCATCCATTGAATTGAGCTTCCATATTGCTTTCAAAATGTTTTGGTGTAAGTTTATCGTTTAGAACAAATCGTGAATATTTTGTTTTTTCAATTTCGTGAGTGATAGTTTCTTTTGCACTTTTTATATTTTTGGAAATAGTTTGTCTGTTAAAAGCATTCTTGTATTTATATATTATGGCTTTCTTTTCATTATATATATAGTTGTAGTACAAAAAGGAATTAAAAACAAGTTATTAACACTTATTCAGTTTATTCGACTTCGATTAAAATCATGACAAAGTTAACAACAAATCAAGTACAAACACTTGTACGCAATGTCAGATTTGAGTGGTGGTGTTCTCTTATCATCCTTTTTCACTGCGCTTTTCTAGTAGTCAAGGCTCTCCATTGGACGCTTCGCATAACTTCCCATAAATATGGGCTAGGAAGCACCTCATGAAGATCCTAGACAGCTCGAGACGCGTTTTGAAAATTAATGAAAAGAGATTCACACCGAACAAATTTAACATTGTATACTAATGTTATTGATTTGTTGTTAACTTTGGCATGCTTTTTATTCATTGATGAAAATGAATAAACTGAATATGTGTTAATACCTTGTTATCAATTCCTTTTTGTAGTAAAATTGTCTATAATGCAAAATATTCTCATATTTTTATTAAATATAAGGCTTTAAAATTCTGTGTAAATGATTGAGTCATTTAGATTGTATAAAATGCGTTCAGAGATTCGTGTCTGCGTAAAACTTGAAACTTATATTGCGGCATTGTAATCCAGCTCTGGTCTATGGTATTCGGTGAACTGCTTAGTCTTACCTTGATCCTGCGCACCGTCTTGTTGCTGTTGTTGGCGACGGCCACGTGCACGGACACCGCGTCGCCGTGGCAGTAGCAGGCGCGGTCGAGCGACGCCTCCAGCTCCACCTTGCCGTCGCTGAGGAGGAAGGGCTTGGCGGCGGAGGCGTGCGGCGGCGGGGGCGGCGCGGGCGGCGAGGGCGCGCCCTGCTCGCCCGCGGGGGCGGCGCCGGGGGAGGTGGGG